ATTTTCCAAATGCCAAGTGTTTAGGATGTCATTTTCATTTTTGTAATTGCCTTTGGAAAAAAGCAGGAAAACTTCATGTACGCAATATATTAAATAATGATGGTAACAAACATTTTCTTGCATCATTATTTGCACTGGCACTAATTCCAAAGGATCATATTCAATTTATTTTTGATGATTTCCAATTTAATGTTCCACAACATCTTAATATTGTACGTTTTATAAAATATGTAGAAAAAAATATAAATGGTGCAGTTTTTAGTCCAGATATATGGAATTTATTCGACTTCATAGGATTGCGTACACGTACCAACAATCCCATTGAAGATTATCATAATAAGCAAAACAGGTAAGCGAAGATGTTCAAATTCGTGGTAGTAACCATTTTCCATTTTTGGTAAATTTAGATATGTAACAGCTAATCCAAATATACTTCATTGGATTAATTCAATACAAAAAGAAGAGACCAATGCTGCAACGAGATTTTTGCAAGAAATACAAGATTTCTCATCATCGAGGCCAATGCGATGTAGTCGTAAAGAATTTGAAAAGGAATTAATCCATGCTAAGTACCAATATTTGCGCGGATGTATAGATTTTCAAGAGTATTTTAATGTTGCTAGAAAACCATGTTATAGAATTTTGTACAGTTTGTCAGATGGTCTTTTAAACAACGAAGTTTCGGATACGGAAGCTTGAATATGTATTTTGTTTATATTCTTTAAAATAACAAAATCACTATGTGTTAGCATCTGCTGCAGTGGCTATTTGTTCTCCTTCGAGAGTATACTATCTGAAAATGTTCTCCTTTAAGAATAAGTTTATAAATTGTTCTCCTTCAAGAGTGTACAGTTTCAAATTGTTCTCATTTAAGATTATGTGTAAATGACTGTTCTCCTTTGAGAGTGCATGGTTTATAAATGTTCTCACTTGAGAAACTATTAAGAACATTGTTCTCATTCGAGAGGTCACCTTCTAAACACCCATGAACATGTACGAACATGCACGAAAAGGTATAAGAACACCCAAAACTATGTGTCAAATTCATTTTGTGACCCGGGACTCAGAACACCCAGGAGATGTATCTGACATACAGTTTTGGGTGTTCTTATATTTTTTTGCGTGTTCGTGGGTGTCCGCATGTTTTTAGTAATATCGTAGGAAAATCATTCAACTTGGTTTACAACTATCAGGTTCTATTAATGACCACTTCTTTTCTCGAACAGTACATCTGGCGTGCAACACTCCCATCCGACAAATGTTTGGTTATTTCAAATCCAAATAAAGCCGATTAGTCACATTCGACTCTCGATAGATATTTATGTGCTTCTCAATCAGAGTCATAAATCGTGAAAACAGAGTTCATTGTCACCTGTTCGGAGAACAAGACACGTTTGTCCTAATAATGCTATTCTCCTCACACTCTTATCATATGTGAGAGTTTGTTTTAATTTACCATCTCTGTCAGTGACATGAAGTTGTTTACTCTTCCACTCATGTGTCAGCCATTGTCCATTTGGAAGAGAGACAAGCATATACCCGTATTCGAACCAAGGGAATGTAATGTTGTTGAGGATGTTCATTGATCGATCTCGTACATGAAGCTGATTAGATTGACCATATACCTTCACTGTTATTCCTAAATGGCTCCCATCACATGAAAATCGAATATCGTCAATAACCTCATTTTGTTGACACGACACAGGTGGTTTCCATCGTCTCGTCATTCTCCATTCTCCACTCATATTCCACTCTTCAACAACTGATCCGTTGTGATTAAAACTCACCAACAAATTTTGATGTGAACATGTACATCTCAAAAAGTCTTCTTTCTTGTTGTCTGACGTTTGTTTGATTTGTGTTACTTCACTTGTTTGGACATTCAATGAATGAAGAGTTCTCGGAGTCAATATCAGAAATCTGTCAAGAAACGATGACCAACAGATATCCCAGACATACAATCCACTTGACTGAAGTGTGTTTGTCGTACGACCAGCTCGATCAGTTAAACTCAGTGTATCTTCATCACAGTAAAGCAACTTCATATCAGATGCACCTATCGCCCCATAATCTCCATCCACTTTAATCTGTCTCTGCGATCTGGCTTTGAGTTTATTGAAGTCGAGTTGTCTCACTTCACTAACTCTCTTCTCACTTCTCTGTGGTGACTTGGACACATGACTCTGATGCTCCCTCTTTCTCACTTTGATCATTCTCTTCCACTCACACTCATCATCACTTTCGATGACAATCGTCGATGTCATGGTCTTTATATCTACATTCATCTGCTTTATTTCATCCATCCATCGATCGAGATCATATTCCACAAAGTCTTCCTCTGTCGTTCTCGATTGAATCTCGTCTTTGATTCGTTTCAGCTGTTTCTTCGGCTCAGCAACAATGTCCCGCACTTCTTCTCGTGCACGATCAGCAGCCATCTTTACCTTCTTCATCCACTCCATCTCCCACTTCTCAATCTCATCGAACACCTTTGATGTGGTAGCATTACAAGTCTGTTCGATGTGTTATTTGAGAAAGTCGTGCTCTTGAACGATGATGTCAAGTTGTGTTGAGAGTTGTTGTCGATGTTCGTTGAAGTCTTTTCGACAGAACATCTGTTCACATCCTGCACAAAGCATGATTCCAGTATGTTTCTGGCAGATATCACACTTCTTTGATGTTGATAGCTGTTTGGCGTTGACAGATGACGTCATGTCTGATTATTGCTAGAAGTAGAATGAAACGAGGTTTAGATCAAATGTATTGCTAGACGGCGTTACCCGACTTGTGAATGGTATGAGAATTCGAGATTCATATGGTGTGGGGACTGATATTTCTTAGGGGTAATGGTATGGTGACCTATCCTTTCTGCTGTTGGTTGATTTTCGATGGTTGAATAGGTGTTCGTGTGTGTTATTATACTGTTACTATTGTTGGCGATTATTCTCTTCTTCTATATTGAGTCACCACATCAGAAAGAGTGAAATATGTTTTTATACAACAGCCACTTTTTGTCACATGCATATCCTTCACCTTGTTTCACATTATATTCAAGTAAGTGAAGAGATTTTTATGTTGTTCTATACAAGAAAATCACTCGAGGCGTTGACGATGGTTTAATACCCTGCGGTTCTGAATCTTCACGGTGTGGTCAAATGTCGCGGAATTTCGTTTTTGTGACTTTCAACCGTAATAGTCTTTTATCCAGATGAGCTGGCTACAAAGCTGGAAATTTTATCACAGATGTAACTAGTGGAGCTCTGTCTTACATAACAAAAGTGAAAATCAAATTGTCTTAAACTGTGAAGTTGATACCTGCGTATGTGGCAAATTATGAGGGAATGAAATGAAATTGACAAAAGTATCTTTTCAAAATAAGCTTTTGTCTTGGGTTACAAAGGAATGGAGATTGCATTTTCACAGTATTTTCTCTAATTTTGTATTTTTGAGATTTACGAAAAGGTGTTCCTTATGTTTTGTACTCTTATCACACTTTGTCTCACAACATTCTGCAGTACGCTGATTACTGCTAATTGACCGTTTTGAATCGCTGACTATAATCACCGACAACAATGAAGAATATCTCAAAAGCAACATCAACTCTCGACGCCGTTCGACACTATATTATGGCTATGAGTAGGTCTTTATGAGACTAAGAGAAACCTTTAATGGTTCGTCCCCATGTCCTATTGGTCAAAAGTTACGACCGCTTTACTGAATTTTCGACCCATTCCTGGCTTTTTACCGGAAGAACAAATTACGG